CGTACATGTGTGTTTGTGTGTGTATTTCTTAATCCCCCCATTGGTTGTTGGCCTACTTGCCTCCCCCCCCCCCCCACTTATGTAAACTATATGAAGACGGGCCATTGGTTGATGGCCTACTTGCCTCCCCCCCCCCCTACTATATGTAAACTATATGAAGACGGGCCATTGGTTGATGGCCTACTTGCCTCCCCCCCCTACTATATGTAAACTATATGAAGACGGGCCATTGTTTGATGGCCTACTTGCCCCCCCCCCCCTACTATATGTAAACTATATGAAGACGGGCCATTGTTTGATGGCCTACTTGCCCCCCCCCCCCTATATGTAAACTATATAAAGACGGGCCATTGGTTGATGGCCTACTTGCCTCCCCCCCCCCCTACTATATGTAAACTATATGAAGACGGGCCATTGTTTGATGGCCTACTTGCCCCCCCCCCCCTATATGTAAACTATATAAAGACGGGCCATTGGTTGATGGCCTACTTGCCTCCCCCCCCCTACTATATGTAAACTATATGAAGACGGGCCATTGTTTGATGGCCTACTTGCCCCCCCCCCCCCTATATGTAAACTATATGAAGACGGGCCATTGTTTGATGGCCTACTTGCCCCCCCCCCCCTATATGTAAACTATATAAAGACGGGCCATTGGTTGATGGCCTACTTGCCTCCCCCCCCTACTATATGTAAACTATATGAAGACGGGCCATTGTTTGATGGCCTACTTGCCTCCCTCTCCCCCCCCCCCACTATATATAAACTATATGAAGACGGGCCATTGTTTGATGGCCTACTTGCCTCCCTCTCCCCCCCCCCCTATATGTAAACTATATGAAGACGGGCCATTGTTTGATGGCCTACTTGCCTCCCTCTCCCCCCCCCCCCCCCTATATGTAAACTATATGAAGACGGGCCATTGTTTGATGGCCTACTTGCCTCCCCCCCCACTATATGTAAACTATATGAAGACGGGCCATTGTTTGATGGCCTACTTGCCTCCCTCTCCCCCCCCCCCCACTATATATAAACTATATGAAGACGGGCCATTGTTTGATGGCCTACTTGCCTCCCCCCCCACTATATGTAAACTATATGAAGACGGGCCATTGTTTGATGGCCTACTTGCCTCCCTCTCCCCCCCCCCCACTATATATAAACTATATGAAGACGGGCCATTGTTTGATGGCCTACTTGCCTCCCTCTCCCCCCCCCCCCTATATGTAAACTATATGAAGACGGGCCATTGTTTGATGGCCTACTTGCCTCCCTCTCCCCCCCCCCCCCACTATATATAAACTATATGAAGACGGGCCATTGTTTGATGGCCTACTTGCCTCCCCCCCCACTATATGTAAACTATATGAAGACGGGCCATTGTTTGATGGCCTACTTGCCTCCCTCTCCCCCCCCCCCACTATATATAAACTATATGAAGACGGGCCATTGTTTGATGGCCTACTTGCCTCCCTCTCCCCCCCCCCCCCACTATATATAAACTATATGAAGACGGGCCATTGTTTGATGGCCTACTTGCCTCCCTCTCCCCCCCCCCACTATATATAAACTATATGAAGACGGGCCATTGTTTGATGGCCTACTTGCCTCCCTCTCCCCCCCCCACTATATATAAACTATATGAAGACGGGCCATTGGTTGATGGCCTACTTGCCCCCCCCCCTATATGTAAACTATATGAAGACGGGCCATTGTTCGATGGCCTACTTGCCCCCCCCCCTATATGTAAACTATATGAAGACGGGCCATTGTTTGATGGCCTACTTGCCTCCCTCTCCCCCCCCCCCCACTATATGTAAACTATATGAAGACGGGCCATTGTTCGATGGCCTACTTGCCCCCCCCCCACTATATGTACACTATATGAAGACGGGCCATTGTTTGATGGCCTACTTGCCTCCCTCTCCCCCCCCCCCCACTATATATAAACTATATGAAGACGGGCCATTGTTTGATGGCCTACTTGCCCCCCCCCTATATGTAAACTATATGAAGACGGGCCATTGTTCGATGGCCTACTTGCCCCCCCCCCTATATGTAAACTATATGAAGACGGGCCATTGTTTGATGGCCTACTTGCCTCCCTCTCCCCCCCCCCCACTATATGTAAACTATATGAAGACGGGCCATTGTTTGATGGCCTACTTGCCTCCCTCTCCCCCCCCCCCCCCCACTATATGTAAACTATATGAAGACGGGCCATTGTTTGATGGCCTACTTGCCCCCCCCCCCTATATGTAAACTATATGAAGACGGGCCATTGTTTGATGGCCTACTTGCCCCCCCCCCCCCTATATGTAAACTATATGAAGACGGGCCATTGATTGATGGCCTACTTGCCTCCCGCTATATGTAAACTATATGAAGACGGGCCATTGGTTGTTGGCCTACTTGCCTCCCCCCCCCCCCAATATATGTAAACTATATGAAGACGGGCCATTGATTGATGGCCTACTTGCCTCCCGCTATATGTAAACTATATGAAGACGGGCCATTGGTTGTTGGCCTACTTGCCTCCCCCCCCCCCCAATATATGTAAACTATATGAAGACGGGCCATTGGTTGATGGCCTACTTGCCTCCCCCCCCCTACTATATGTAAACTATATGAAGACGGGCCATTGGTTGATGGCCTACTTGCCTTCCCCCCCCCCCCCTATATGTAAACTATATGAAGACGGGCCATTGGTTGATGGCCTACTTGCCTCCCCCCCCCCCCCCACTATATGTAAACTATATGAAGACGGGCCATTGTTTGATGGCCTACTTGCCTCCCACTATATGTAAACTATACGAAGACGGGCCATTGGTTGATGGCCTACTTGCCTCCGCCCTCCCCCCACTATATGTAAACTATATGAAGACGGGCCATTGTTTGATGGCCTGCTTGCCTCCCCCCCCCCCCCACTATATGTAAACTATATGAAGGCGGGCCATTGGTTGATGGCCTACTTGCCTCCCTCCCCCCCCCCCATATGTAAACTATACGAAGACGGGCCATTGGTTGATGGCCTACTTGCCTCCCTCCCCCCCCATATGTAAACTATACGAAGACGGGCCATTGGTTGATGGCCTACTTGCCTCCCTCCCCCCCCCCCCCCATATGTAAACTATACGAAGACGGGCCATTGGTTGATGGCCTACTTGCCTCCCACTATATGTAAACTATACGAAGACTGGGCCATTGGTTGATGGCCTACTTGCCTCCCTCCCCCCCCCCCATATGTAAACTATACGAAGACGGGCCATTGGTTGATGGCCTACTTGCCTCCGCCCTCCACCTCTAGCCGAACGCCCTTGGGTAGAGGGAGCTGGATGGTGAGGAAGCGCTTAAAGTTGGCGTCCACGGCTAAGCTGAAGTCGATCAACTCTGAGACGGCCACCAGGTCCATGGTGTCTGAGAAGTTGAAGGTCTTGGCAATCTTCAGATTCTCGGGGCTGATGGGGAAACACTGAGCGGGAAAAAGTAGTCTAGGATCACTTTAATTTACACATGTCTATGTCACTTTACTGTACACATGTCTATGTCACTTTACTGTACACGTCTGTCACTTTACTGTACACATGTCTATGTCACTTTACTGTCACTCTACACATGTCCATGTCACTTTACTGTACACATGTCTATGTCACTTTACTGTACACATGTCCCTGTCACTTTACATGTCTATGTCACTTTGCTGTACACATGTCTATGTCACTTTACTGTACACATGTCTATGTCACTTTACTGTACATATGTCTATGTCACTTTACTGTACACATGTCTATGTCACTTTACTGTACACGTCTATGTCACTTTAGTGTACACATGTCTATGTCACTTTACTGTCACTTTACACATGTCCATGTCACTTTACTGTACACATGTCTATGTCACTTTACTGTACACATGTCTATGTCACTTTAGTGTACACATGTCTATGTCACTTTACTGTCACTTTACACATGTCCATGTCACTTTACTGTACACATGTCTATGTCACTTTACTGTACACATGTCTATGTCACTTTAGTGTACACATGTCTATGTCACTTTACTGTCACTTTACACATGTCCATGTCACTTTACTGTACACATGTCTATGTCACTTTACTGTACACATGTCTATGTCACTTTACTGTACACATGTCTATGTCACTTTACTGTACACATGTCTATGTCACTTTACTGTCACTCTACACATGTCCATGTCACTTTACTGTCACATGTCTTATATAACACCTTGTCTCACCTGTATTGTACAAAGTATCACCTTGACCCACCTGTAGTGTACACAGTATCACCTGGACCCACCTGTAGTGTACACAGTATCACCTTGACTCACCTGTAGTGTACAAAGTATCACCTTGACTCACCTGTAGTGTACACAGTATCACCTTGTCTCACCTGTAGTGTACAAAGTATCACCTAGACTCACCTGTAGTGTACAAAGTATCACCTTGACTCACCTGTAGTGTACACAGTATCACCTTGTCTCACCTGTAGTGTACAAAGTATCACCTAGACCCACCTGTAGTGTACACAGTATCACCTAGACTCACCTGTAGTGTACAAAGTATCACCTAGACTCACCTGTATTGTACACAGTATCACCTAGACTCACCTGTATTGTACACAGTATCACCTTGAACTACCTGTAGTGTACAAAGTATCACCTTGACCAACCTGTATTGTACACAGTATCACCTGGACCAACCTGTAGTGTACACAGTATCACCTTGAACTACCTGTAGTGTACAAAGTATCACCTTGAACTACCTGTAGTGTACACAGTATCACCTGAACCCACCTGTAGTGTACACAGTATCTCCTTGTCGATTGTTTTCTTTGGGAAGCGGGCGGTCAAGTTTTTGTAATAGTCAGACGAGTACAGTCGGCCGTTGATCGCAACCCCGAACTCTTCCTTCAGGAGTTGTGACGTCACAACAAGCGTCATGTCACGGTTGACTTCAACCACAGCATACATGACGGAATCGACTTCCTGGGGATCCAAAACATTTCTATGACACACCGTCATACGACCGTCACACGACCGTCACACGACCGTCACACGACCGTCACACGACCGTCACACGACCGTCACACTACTGTTACACAATTAGATCTTTATAAGATCTTTTATAAAGAAAAGTAAAAATTGTAACAGCCATCTTAAACCTCAGACAGCACAACGTACACTGACATCACAAAGTACACTGACGTCACAAAGTACAATGACGTACCTCTATCTCCGTGTCATAGTCCAACCACTTGTCCTTAATCCTCACTTTGACGCCAACTTTATAATAGTCCACGTTGACTTGTTTGTACGGCAGATACAGGAAGATGCCGTTCTTCGCTCCATAGCTGCTGGCTTTAAGGGCGAAAATTTCGCTGATGATGGCGTCAGCTAGGGGTAGCTCGGGTAGATCAATCTTCCAGCGTTCGTGGGGGGCGAGTACCGTGAACTTGATAACGTCCTTGACACCAAGACAAGAGTCTGGGATTTCAATCTTGGCGCCCTTTGTCAGGTTAAAGACGCCGCCTTTTTTCCCCGGCACGATTTCAAAGTATAGGCTGAAAAATGATGGGGATAAAGAGACGAGGTTCAAGCACAGAGAGAATTCATTAGTACAGAGACAAGATTCAAGCAGAGATAATTCATTAGTACAGAGACAAGATTCAAGCAGAGATAATTCATTAGTACAGAGATGATTCATTAGTACAGAGACAAGATTCAAGCAGAGATAATTCATTAGTACAGAGACAAGATTCAAGCAGAGATAATTCATTAGTACAGAGACAAGATTCAAGCAGAGATAATTCATTAGTACAGAGACAAGATTCAAGCAGAGATAATTCATTAGTACAGAGACAAGATTCAAGCAGAGATAATTCATTAGTACAGAGACAAGATTCAAGCAGAGATAATTCATTAGTACAGAGATGATTCATTAGTACAGAGACAAGATTCAAGCAGAGATAATTCATTAGTACAGAGACAAGATTCAAGCAGAGATAATTCATTAGTACAGAGACAAGATTCAAGCAGAGATAATTCATTAGTACAGAGACAAGATTCAAGCAGAGATAATTCATTAGTACAGAGACAATATTCAAGCAGAGATAATTCATTAGTACAGAGACGAGATTCAAACACAGAGATAATTCATTAGTACAGAGATAATTCATTAGTACAGAGACAATATTCAAGCAGAGATAATTCATTAGTACAGAGACAATATTCAAGCAGAGATAATTCATTAGTACAGAGACAATATTCAAGCAGAGATAATTCATTAGTACAGAGACAAGATTCAAGCAGAGAGATAATTCATTAGTACAGAGAGAAGATTCAAGCAGAGATAATTCATTAGTACAGAGACAATATTCAAGCAGAGATAATTCATTAGTACAGAGACAAGATTCAAGCAGAGATAATTCATTAGTACAGAGACAATATTCAAGCAGAGATAATTCATTAGTACAGAGACAAGATTCAAACAGAGATAATTCATTAGTACAGAGATAATATTCAAGCAGAGATAATTCATTAGTACAGAGACAAGATTCAAGCAGAGATAATTCATTAGTACAGAGACAATATTCAAGCAGAGATAATTCATTAGTACAGAGACGAGATTCAAACACAGAGATAATTCATTAGTACAGAGATAATTCATTAGTACAGAGACAATATTCAAGCAGAGATAATTCATTAGTACAGAGCCAAGATTCAAGCAGAGAGATAATTCATTAGTACAGAGCCAAGATTCAAGCAGAGATGATTCATTAGTACAGAGACAAGATTCAAGCAGAGATGATTCATTAGTACAGAGATAATTCATTAGTACAGAGCCAAGATTCAAGCAGAGAGATAATTCATTAGTACAGAGCCAAGATTCAAGCAGAGATGATTCATTAGTACAGAGACAAGATTCAAGCAGAGATGATTCATTAGTACAGAGATAATTCATTAGTACAGAGATAATACAAGATGACACTACTGACCTCACCATTGATCACATCTAAACACAATATAGAACACAACACATAATAGTCCAGACCATGAACCATAAATAGAATTGTCCCCTATCACACCACATATGACATATGTCCCTACAACACAGATGATATATGCCCCTACAACACATATGACATATGCCCCTACCTATCACACCACATATGACATATGCCCCTACCTATCACACCACATATGACATATGCCCCTACCTATCACACCATTTATGACATATGCCCCTACACCACAGATGGCATATGCCCCTACAACACTGATGACATATGCCCCTACCTATCACACCACATATGCCCCTACCTATCACACCACATATAACATATGCCCCTACCTATCACACCACATATGACATATGCCCCTACCTATCACACCACATATGACATATGCCCCTATACCACAGATGACAAATGCCTCTAAACCACATATGACATATGCCCCTACCTATCACACCACATATGACATATGCCCCTACACCACAGATGGCATATGCCCCTACAACACAGATGACATATGCCCCTACCTATCACACCACATATGCCCCTACCTATCACACCACATATGACATATGCCCCTACCTATCACACCACATATGACATATGCCCCTATACCACAGATGACAAATGCCTCTAAACCACATATGACATGCCCCTACCTATCACACCACATATGACATATGCCCCTACCTATCACACCACATATGACATATGCCCCTATACCACAGATGACAAATGCCTCTAAACCACATATGACATATGCCCCTACCTATCACACCACATATGACATATGCCCCTACACCACAGATGGCATATGCCCCTACAACACAGATGACATATGCCCCTACCTATCACACCACATATGCCCCTACCTATCACACCACATATAACATTTGCCCCTACCTATCACACCACATATGACATATGCCCCTATACCACAGATGACAAATGCCTCTAAACCACAGAGGACATATGCCCTTACCTATCACACCACATATGTCATATGCCCCTACACCACAGATGGCATATGCCCCTACAACACAGATGACATATGCTCCTACCTATCACACCACATATGACATATGCCCCTACCTATCACACCACCAATGACATATGCCCCTACCTATCACACCACATATAACTGTGCCCCTACATATCACAACACATATGACATATGCCCCTACCTATCACACCACCAATGACATATGCCCCTACCTATCACACCACATATGTCATATGCCCCTACACCACAGATGGCATATGCCCCTACAACACAGATGACATATGCTCCTACCTATCACACCACCAAAGACATATGCCCCTACCTTTCACAACACAGATAACATATGCCCCTACAACGCAGATGACATATGCCCCTACCTATCACACCACCAATGACATATGCTCCTACCTATCACACCACATATGTCATATGCCCCTACAACGCAGATGACATATGCCCCTACCTATCACACCACCAATGACATATGCCCCTACCTATCACACCACATATGTCATATGCCCCTACACCACAGATGGCATATGCCCCTACAACACAGATGACATATGCTCCTACCTATCACACCACCAAAGACATATGCCCCTACCTTTCACAACACAGATAACATATGCCCCTACAACGCAGATGACATATGTTCCTACCCAACACACCACAAATGACATATGCTCCTACCTAACACACCATAAATGACATTGCTTTTACAACACAGATCACACATGCCCCTACCTATCACACCACATATGACATATGCCCCTACAACACAGATGGCATATGCCCCTACCTATCACACCACATATGACATATGCCCCTACAACACAGATGATATATGCCCCTACAACACATATGACATACGCCCCTACCTATCATACCACATATGACATATGCCCCTACAACACAGCTGGCATATGCCCCTACCTATCACACCACATATGACATATGCCCCTACAACACAGATGATATATGCCCCTACAACACATATGGCATATGCCCCTACCTATCACACCACATATGACATATGCCCCTACCTATCACACCACATATGACATATGCCCTTACAACACAGATGGCATATGCCCCTACCTATCACACCACATATGACATATGCCCCTACAACACAGATAATAAATGCCCCTACAACACATATGACATATGCCCCTACCTATCACACGACATATGACATACGCCCCTACCTATCACACCACATATGACATATGCCCCTACCTATCACACGACATATGACATACGCCCCTACCTATGACACCACATATGACATATGCCCCTACCTGTCCTTGTCATAAAACTGAGGATGCTGGTTTAAATCTTCACGTATGTTCGTCACCTTGCCCGTCACAGGTTTTTTAACTTCTAAACTTTAGATTGAAAACAAATTTACGTTCTTGCCTTAACTTTAAACAAAATTTGTTTTATTATAATCTTTGAGTTTTACACTTTGTTATTAAAAGAAAGAATGATAAACCTTTAAATAACTCACTGAATAAAAGAATGATAAAATTTTGAAAAGATAAACTGAATGAATGAAAGATTAAGTATTGAAAAGACTTAATGAATGAATGGAGTTTTTATATGACTCCTTGATTGAATACTAATCAAGTTTTTAAAAGAACTAACTTTTTATTTGGCTCGGTCGACATCACCATGTCATATGTCTAAACGTTGCCACAGAAATTCATAAGTCACTATCCATCTTGATCTGGAACATTCGCACACAATGATATAGAATTAAGTCACCCCAGGGCAGGCACAAATGTTTACATTTCTTAATGTGTTTCTAAAATTCGCTAATTATATTTTTTCGAATGGATTTTTATTTCGCAATTTTATGATTTCCAAGTCATTTAAAAATTATTCGCGATTATTTGTCTTACAAAACAAAACTAAAAATTCAAACTCAATATCGTTAAAATAAATGACCAGAACTAAAATACTACTATTATAGTCTACAAGCAGACGATCTTCTGTAATCAAAGACAATGGCATATGGCAGCGTGTCATTCCATTCTTTGAGCGTGTAGATCTAGCTAACAATGGTGTTCATTATAATTGAAGGCTATCGATTTAATAACGTGTAGACATCAAGACGGCGTATCGTCTGCTAGAAAAATGTGTGCGGTATTTGTAAAAATGTGTAGGGCCTACGGTATTTGTAAAAATGTATGCGGTATTTGTAAAAATGTGTAGGGCCTACGGTATTTGTAAAAATGTGTGCGGTATTTGTAAAAATGTGTAGGGCCTACGGTATTTGTAAAAATGTGTGCGGTATTTGTAAAAATGTGTAGGGCCTACGGTATTTGTAAAAATGTGTGCGGTATTTGTAAAAATGTGTAGGGCCTACGGTATTTGTAAAAATGTGTGCGGTATTTGTAAAAATGTGTAGGGCCTACGGTATTTGTAAAAATGTGTGCGGTATTTGTAAAAATGTGTAGGGCCTACGGTATTTGTAAAAATGTGTGCGGTATTTGTAAAAATGTGTGCGGTATTTGTAAAAATGTGTGCGGTATTTGTAAAAATGTGTACGGTATTTGTAAAAATGTGTGCGGTATTTGTAAAAATGTGTGCGGTATTTGTAAAAATGTGTGCGGTATTTGTAAAAATGTGTACGGTATTTGTAAAAATGTGTGCGGTATTTGTAAAAATGTGTGCGGTACTTGTAACAACGTCCACGTGACCTTTCAATTTATTTTTTTGTTCATTATCGCCAAAAGTTCACCGGAGACATTTGTCATTGTGTGGATCCAAGGGGTTTAACTTCCCATAACATCTTTCGTTGATAGACCTTTGTGGTTAGCCACGTGTGGCGTGGTTTAACCACAGATCACCACACCCTACTACGTGCTAACTTTGTGGCATACACTAGCAGTAAAGACTTGTCAACACTTTACACACAAAAAATATTCCACAAAAATCACGTTCGGCGTCTCTTAGATAATTGCGCTGATTAGTTTGTCTAATTAAGCAAACACTACTCCTGTGTTTACGTTAACTAGGTCAGTCTGACCTCGTTAGATGGCAGACAGAGCACCAACATAAAATTGTGTTTTAACTTGTTTCATGCAAGTTCCGTACTAATTAACATCACGCTGGTTTGTTAATTAGTTCATGTAATATACTTTAAATAATTAAACTCAAAGCACTTCTTAACAACAATGATTTTCTTAAAATATTGAATCTTAACCAAACTACTCCATATAGCGCTTAAGCGCTGCTTTCTATATATGCAACCTAATCCTCACTAAAATAAAACCTAACATTTATGTATGTAACAATCTTAATCCGCACTGAAATCAAACCTTACATGCATTGGATATATTTAGTCGTAATTTCACGAAACTTAATTAGTCCTAATTAAGCAACAACTTGTGTTGTGTCCATTGTTATTGTTTCCATGGCTGGTTCTTACCTCAAGGAAATTTTGGTCTCAGGTTTTGTACATAGAACTTGTGTTATTTGGACCAAAATAATCTTCCGGTGTTTGGACCAGACAAATCTTCCGGTGTTTGGACCAAACAAATCTTCCGGTGTTTGGACCAAACAAATCTTCCGGTGTTTGGACCAAACAAATCTTCCGGTGTTTGGACCAAACAAATCTTCCGGTGTTTGGACTAAAGGAATTTGTTTTTATCAACAGTAGAGCTGGGACTCGAAATGATTTGTATCAAATGCGTTGAATCAAATTTTCATGACAGCGTATCTACCGGCTGAGAGAAATAGGCTGCCTGTTTGAAATAAATGCCCACAGAACTGGGTTATAGCCATTACATGTATGCCTAAATAATTCAATTATATGGTTAATACCCATAAGTTGAATTGTCATCTGGAATGTTTTAATCCAAGCAGAAAACTAGAAAGTGGTGACATATTTAAAGAAAATCATATATTTTCTTCTTTTTACTTTCTCGTATATGCGAAGTATAGAGAAAGCCTTGTAATCGTGCAAAAAAAAAAACCCGAGATTTTTACAAATCTCGACGTTTTACACCTCACAGATACGGAAAAACATAATTTTGGAATCTTGTCCGTATGTCTGTATGTCTGTCTGTGTGTGTGTGTGTGTGTCTGTCTCTCTGTGTGTAAACACGATAACTTGAGTACCGTTACAGCTAGGTTGATGAAATTTCATATATAAGTATTTTATCAAAATCGTAAATCCGTTTCAACTTTTGAGCGATTTCCGATAAGCGGAAGTGGTACTTTTTCTACTTTGAATTTTTTTCAAAAGCCTATAACTTGAGTACTATTTAGGATAGATAAATGAAATTTCACATGCAAGTAAAAGATTTAATTCTCTACCTTCTGTCAAATTTTGAGTAATTTCCATTGACAGAAAGTACTAATTTACGCTATTTCCTATTTCTCAAAAAAAAAAACGCATGTAAATTTATAAAGTACTAATCATATTGCGTACTATTATGCACATTTTGTTTTGACGTTCGTTTGGTGCGCAATTCTTTTTTCTATGAGATTCTTATTTTTAAAAGTTTAAGTAATTAAAAATCATGTCTATATTCCAAGTTATATAAGAATATTCGAGAAAGCTTTGGGGAGATCACTCCCGGTTTATTTAATGCATATTTAAAAACTTTTCATTAAAACTTTTAATACTTTTAAATTTGAATAGAAAACAATCGCACAGCCAAAATGAATTGCGCATCACATGATGCAATCGATGTGGAAAATAACACGAAGACATCTATTTAATTTTGTCACCTTACACACCTGCTACACACAAGTTGTTCGCTACACACACACACAAAACACACGGATCAGATATGTGTTACATGACAAAGTTAGTTAAAACCAGCTGAGACCAGGATAAAACAGCACAAGAGTTATGACTTACCCCGAGTCAGACACAAGAGTTATGACTTACCCCAAGTCAGACACAAGAGTTATGACTTACCCCGAGTCAGACACAAGAGTTATGACTTACCCCGAGTCAGACACAAGAGTTATGACTTACCCCGAGTCAGACACAAGAGTTATGACTTACCCCGAGTCAGACACAAGAGTTATGACTTACCCCGAGTCAGACACAAGAGTTATGACTTACCCCAAGTCAGACGTACATGTGGACAGGTTGAAGAAAAATCTTTACCGTGTTGTTTTCATGCATGTTGGCTGGGGGAAAAATCTGTTGTTTTTTAAATTGTTAAAACTTTCGGCCTCGGTCTTAAAGCACATTTTTTAAACAGAGCGTTAATAATAATTCTTTGAGCTGGTTTAAGAGAGGAAATAATATCCGTGTTCTAGATGTGAGTGTAATGATACGTCCATTCTAAAACGTCCCTAGATGGCATCAATACACGTCCCTTCTAGATGGCCTCAATACACGTCCCTAGATGGCCTCAATACACGTCACTAGATGGCCTCAATACACGTCCCTAGATGGCCTCAATACACATCCCTTCTAGATGCCTCAATACACGTCCCAATATGGCCTCATTACACGTCCATAGATGGCCTCATTACATGTCCCTAGATGGCCTTAATACACGTCCCTAGATGACCTCAATACACGTCACTAGATGACCTCAATACACGTCCCTAGATGGCCTCAATACACGTCCCTAGATGGCCTCAATACACGTCCCTAGATGGCCTCAATACACGTCCCGTCTAGATGGCCTCAATACACGTCCCTAGATGGCCTCAATACACGTCCCTAGATGGCCTCAATACACGTCCCGTCTAGATGGCCTCAATACACGTCCCTAGATGGCCTCAATACACGTCCCGTCTAGATGGCCTCATTACACGTCCAGTCTAGATGGCCTCAATACACGTCCCTAGATGGCCTCAATACACGTCCCTAGATGGCCTCAATACACGTCCCTAGATGGCCTCAATACACGTCCCTAGATGGCCTCAATACACGTCCCGTCTAGATGGCCTCAATACACGTCCCTAGATGGCCTCATTACACGTCCCTAGATGGCCTCAATACACGTCCCGTCTAGATGGCCTCAATACACGTCCCTAGATGGCCTCAATACAGGTCCCTAGATGGCCTCAATACACGTCCCGTCTAGATGGCCTAAATACACGTCCCTAGATGACCTCAATACACGTCCCTAGATGGCCTCAATACACGTCCCTAGATGGCCTCAATACACGTCCCTAGATGGCCTCAATACACGTCCAGTCTAGATGGCCTCAATACACGTCCCTAGATGACCTCAATACACGTCCCTAGATGGCCTCAATACACGTCCCTAGATGACCTCAATACACGTCCCTAGATGGCCTCAATACACGTCCCTAGATGGCCTCAATACACGTCCCTAGATGGCCTCAATACACGTCCCGTCTAGATGGCCTCATTACACGTCCCGTCTAGATGGCCTCATTACACGTCCCGTCTAGACGACCTCATTACACGTCCCTAGATAGCTTCAATACACGTCCCTAGATGGCCTCAATACACGTCCCTAGATGGCCTCAATACACGTCCCGTCTAGATGGCCTAAATACACGTCCCTAGATGACCTCAATACACGTCCCTAGATGGCCTCAATACACGTCCCTAGATGGCCTCAATACACGTCCCTAGATGGCCTCAATACACGTCCCGTCTAGATGGCCTCAATACACGTCCCTAAATGACCTCAATACACGTCCCTAGATGGCCTCAATACACGTCCCTAGATGACCTCAATACACGTCCCTAGATGGCCTCAATACACGTCCCTAGATGGCCTCAATACACGTCCCTAGATGGCCTCAATACACGTCCCGTCTAGATGGCCTCAATACACGTCCCTAGATGACCTCAATACACGTCCCTAGATGGCCTCAATACACGTCCCTAGATGGCCTCAATACACGTCCCTAGATGGCCTCAATACACGTCCCGTCTAGATGGCCTCAATACACGTCCCTAGATGACCTCAACACACGTCCCTAGATGGCCTCAATACACGTCCCTAGAT